ACTCGGTGCGTTCTACATAGTCTCCCTGAACACAAGACCAAGTTGCGACAACAAGGTCAACCTACTTCTATTCATTGGTTTTATTTATTTTAATTTCTTACTTACCAATATTCATGCTTAGGGTTGGGTGCCATGGCAAAATTTTGATTAAAAAAGGGCGCCGCGACTAGGAAAAGTTTGGGAATCACTGGGCTACACTGTACCATCATATCATTGAAAAAAATTCAACCATCAGTCCTTCAGCACCTCAGACGAAATAGGGTGTAATATCTACTGGTAGTCTGAAAAGCTACATTTAAATGAAAATCACGTCTTCATCTCAATTCATAGTACGTGGTGGCAAGCCTTTGCAAGTAGACGGGATCAAATTAGAAAGAAGCAATTTATTTCACTTGCTGACAATGAAAAGTTTTTCTTTTTTGTAGAGGAGACAAGTTCTGACCTGTCAAACTTTCACAAGAGTACGAAAAACGATTCATTTTCACAAAACTCTTTTTGGTATGGCTCAATATATGAAGGGGAGATTATTAATAAAATGTGGTTTTAACTAGTTTTGATGCCATAGTTACAACTTTACCGTAATTAGTAAGAGACCTATTAGGATGCCCCAAGTGCTGGTTTCAGTAGCCTAGTTGCCATTTTCTTCGTTCTCATCAATTCGGTGACTCAGCATCTAAACACTCTGTATACAGTAGGTACGTCTCTTATGCAAATCCCTTGCCCACCTTAGCCTCATTTTCTCCTTTTATAAGGTAGGTTTTGCAACTACTAGTCAGTCTTGACTAGTAGTTCCAGTCAGCCTTGGTCGCATAAGGTGTTGAAGGACTTATGGCCGAATTTTCCCACGATCATATGACTAGGCCTTACGTGTCCAGGCGATTACAATTGGGCTTGCCTTCCAAAAGGTATGCTCATTCAGGCTGGGCTGGACTGCGGTTCTGACCTCAGAGCTGTAGCTCAAGTCAAGCCAGACCTCGCAAAAACGGCTTTCATTCTGACTCATAGGCTCTAAACCGTAACAAATGCTTGGTTCCGGAGAAAACATGCGAATGGCCGCAT